TCTGGTGACTATATTTTCAGTGGAGGTCGCAAAGGTGTGAATAGTCAGTGGATGGGGCATTGATGGAGAGTGACGAGAATGTTGTCAGTAGGGAGTTCAGTGTGTTGGATTGTGGTGGTGGGTAGTTCAAGATGGTATGGCTATAGTCATTTGTGGGTGGTGTAAGGTAGTTACTTGCTAGGTTGATCAGTGAAAGGAGATGGGTGAAGGTGATAAAACCAGTCCTCTGGTTTACCACATAAATAGAGAAAGCTGGGAAGTCTTTTCTTCGGTGTATAAATTTTGTAATAAATTTTTTAATGTCAAATAATATGGAGCGTAAGTGTCAGTTAATAGTTTGACCCTTGTAAAATGCTTAAGAAAATCATAAAGATGTATTATCTGTACTTCTGTCAAAAAGGCCAGCTTCGCTATTTTTATTACATTGACGACACCTCTCATTGTATAGAGGATGAGCCTCTCTTGATGCACCGTCTTCTATGTCTTCCCTTCCTTTTGTGTTGCTCACTTGAAATTTAATTAGTTAAACATGGTTGTGTAAATGCAGTCTGCCTCCTGAAGATTGATTTTCTTTGTTTTCTCTGTTTGGCTTGGTTGATATATGCAGGGTTACCATGGTGACACATCAGCTATGTTCTTTGTAGGAAATGTTGATGAGGAAGCCAAAAACTTGGTGCAGGTATGACTTTTTGGTTGTATATTTACTCTCTGAATATAGGGAAATTTAGTACCAGTTTTTGTATCTATACTCAGCCATTTGTGCTCATGATTAAAAGCATAGAAAATATTCTTTTTATGGCCCTGATGTTTGGAAGTTCAACTATAAGTTTCTCCAGCTTTGTAAGAAAAGCATTTTTGGCAAAACTTCGGTTTCACTCCGTATATTGGGAAATCTCTTCTGTGTCTACATGTCTGTTATGTCGTTTTTTTTTAATCATATCTGACATGAATAGTGCCCCTTATCGTTATTGCCTCTGCAGACAACCCATGTCATTTACAAGTTTGACAGTGCATGTATCTGAATAAGTTAATGAGACTTGTGTATTATAATGTAAAAGTGGAAAAAGATATTCAAGTATAACATTTGAACAACAAGTGTGTTTGGGAAAATATGACATCTTTGTTTGAATTTGTACTCTTGGCAGAAGTGAAAGTTGTATAAGATACTGTTAAGTACACATGGTCAGCTTAATTAGAATGTCAATGTAAATCATTTCACATAAATTGGGATAGAGAGTATCTGTTTTTTGTAATTCAAGGTGATAAATGTTCTTGTGCAGGTCCTCAATCTTGTGACGGCAGCGCACTATCTAAAAGTTATAGCTGTAATGTTAGTTTACTTGTATTATGTGAATGTCAAATAAATTCTTGGTGACCTGGTCTCAGCATGCCCTGAAATGTGTGTGCTAGTGAGCTGTCCAACAGAGCTGAGTTCTTTGACATTGTAACTGCATGTAGTATGCTTTTCCATATCATTGAGACATCTCAGGCCATATTTTCCAGGCTGTCATTCAGTAGACTTCACATAGAAGCAATACTTGATTTTAGAGATGGTTTGACTGTATGAGCGAGTGAGAAAAGCTTGCTATCTTAGTCATAAAAAAAGGACAAAGAAAAAAGAGAAAGCATGGTATCTTTTCCCGAAATGGAACTACATTTTTCTTTGAACTTTTCAGTTAGGTGCAATTTTCAGATGACATGGTAAACAAGTTTAATTATTGATGCATGCTCAAAATTTTTAGCTTAACTGCACAAATGACAATTACGTGGAATAGGCTGACCTAATAACTTATCGCTGGTGATCAGAATTTCAACCTGAATAAAGAACCTCAATAATTGAGAATCTATGAAGAAAGTGTAGTTTAAATCACATGTCGTTGCCTCTTTGCTTAATTTGAATTTCTACCTTTCTACTTCTAGGTTTTCTTTTTGCTTTAACTTATCAACAATAAAATTTGTTTATTTTTTCTTTGTACTGTGGAAGGAAACACCTTATTTGATTGTACAGATGCATCTGCAATAATCCCACCTATTATTTTCTATTTGATGTGTTAGGTGACTAAAGAATGCTTGGACAAGGCAATATCAATATGTGCACCAGGAGTGGAATTCAATAAAATTGGCAAGACTATACAGTAAGACATCTGCCTAAATCTTCTACATCATTTTTGTTCTTGTGCATCTTGGTCTGCTAAATATTAGAAAGATTTGTCACCACATGAAGGTCTATTTGGCATGAAAAACCGATGACTGGCATTGTTTGGTTGTTTATTTGAGGGATAGGACATGTATATCAGCAGGGGCGGAGCTAGCCTTTCGGAACCTTATATTTGTCTTAAGAAATCTATTGAATATGTACAAATTATTAATTTAGAACCGGTGACTTAAAAAGACTCAAATCCCGAACCCATGAACTTCAAATTCTGGCTTCCCCTCTGTATATTAGATAATTGTCGTAAATTCTTAGAACGCAGTTATGATTAGTCATAATATAGACTCTTATAAAAAAATAATCTTAATATAGGCCAATATATTGCTCGTTAGCTATATATTGTTTAGCATTGCAAATTTTGTTGACATTAATGTTCTATTTGTAGTGACCTTGCAGATAAACATCGCTATGGGGTTGTGGAACAGTTTGTTGGCCATGGAGTGGGACGTTCTTTCCACAGCGATCCAGTCATTCTACATCACAGTAACTTTCATGCTTAATATACTAACCTCCTTTCTGCTCGTTCTATGTTGAAGAAAAATGGCCAATTGAGCCTATACGATTTGCCTTGTTTGCTGCAAAATTTAAACTGTTTTAATCATGATGTATGCATTGGAAATCACGATCCTCTCGTGGAGTTTTCTACTTGTGCCATCCAATGTTGCACCGGGATATCCAGCATGCTAACTGCTGCTACTACACCTCAAATTTATATATTCTTGAGATGTAATACTAATGGTGGGGATTCATCATGAATTAGGTTAGAAGTAGAGCATACTTTAAATTTGTTCGTATTTCACTCTAAATAATATGTAACCTGTGTGTCTAACATAAATACCGAATCTTTCTGTTGATGACTGGTTCTAAATATCAGTTACCTAAGACGGGTGAAAATAAGTTACTTCAGGCTCTTGGCTTGATGCTGTCTCATTTTACAAATGTCTCATTCACTTGCAAACCTCCATTCCCGTCGGCAGTTTTTCTAATACATAATAATGAGAAATTCCAGTTTTAAAGAGATCTCCTCCAAAAAGAGATCATAGTTCTAATTTGGTCTCTGAAAAATAATCTCTTTGATCTAATAGTTACATTTTTGCTTGCTTTTAATCTTATTCTTGTTGTCCTCCTAAAACCATTGACTTTTTTTTGGGTATCAATTTTCATTTTGCTATATTTGTTTTTTTTTCTTTCTCAGGGAATAATAGCCGTGGACAGATGGTGCTCAATCAGACATTCACTATTGGTAATGTACAGTAATTAATTAATTTCACATTGTTGAAGAGACTCACCGTGATATAGATGCAGAATGTTTTTCCGCATTAAACATATCACTTGAATTGTCTGCTTATAGATATTATCCAGAGGCTGGTAGCTACTGTATTGTGGCCGTTTTCTTGTCCACGGTTTGCCAAGAACTGAGGTTCCACAGTGCTTATTGTTATAAATCACATGGCTAGTTTACGTGGATTTCTTACTTCGTTGCAATTGATACCACTGTTATTTTTTGGAACATCAAAGTTTACTACATTGTTGCGTGCACGACTTTGTTATAACGAAAAGGATGAATATCACACATTATTGATTGCTGAATTTAGCTTGTTACTATGTTGTACAGAGCCGATGCTGACAATTGGTAGCATAGAGGGAGTAATGTGGGATGACAATTGGACAGTTGTTACAGAAGATGCTAGTCTATCGGCACAGTTTGAGCACACCATTTTGATAACCCAAGATGGTGCTGAGATTCTAACTTAGTGCTAGTGATATTCCTGCAACAGCAACACTACAATCCATCAACCTAAAGGACAATTCCTGAAAGTTATGTTGCTGTACAATTCAATTCATTGCCTCTCTTGGTAACTACAATTCTCAACTCGCCCTGATCTAGTTTTTGTGGTGCATTTGTTGTACTATTCTTTGGTTTGTGCTATAGAAATTACAAGTGTTATTGCTACCCTACCTTGGACTATATAGGGTGATTCAATTCTTTAATCCTTTTCTGGATGTTACATTTTCTCACTCAGAACCGCGTATGCAACTCTGTAATATCTAAGCCGAATGCTCTATTTCAGACGCGATTTTGTTAGTTATTTTGTAAACCAACCTGCGTTATCAAAAAGAATGGCGTTTTAACGTGTCTAAACCATTGTTTAATACCATATTTATGAAATAAGATATATGGAGATTGTCTCATGAAATTCCTCCATTTGCTAGCATTATGACTCTAAACCCAGGGAGGGCTACCCTGTTTAGATTGTGCTTCTATATTCAAATTCACCCTCACGTTCTATATTCCAACTAAGATTCAAAAAAAAAAAAAAAAAAAAAAAAAAAACCGGGGGAAAGAAAAAAGAAAAGAAAAGAAACGAGTTGAAATGAGGTTCAATTAAGGAGCTCGTTCAAGATTTTTAAGCATTTTAAAACTTAAACCCCTTCTAAAAGTTAATATTTATGAAAAGATTCATAGTTTGGCCAAATTCTAAGCTATTTGGTTATTTTCCTCCGAAAGTTTTCTCCTGCACCTCCTAAGTTAGGCAGTGGTTACTCTAAACTAGGGTTGTACAAACCGAACCGGAAAATCAAATCGAAAAGTCAAACCAAACCGATCAAAAAACTCGATTAGGTTTGGTATTGAGTAAAAAAATCCGAACCAAACGAACATATAAATATATAATTTTTATATATACTTTTAAGACTTTTCATAGAATTTTATTTTAAAATATTTAGAAATATGTGCGATTCTCTTATGGGATGTTATAATTGTTAAATATGAAGTGTTTTATTTTTATTAATTATATTTAAATAATGGGTTGTATGATCACTTTCTTATCAAATGGTAGTGCAATGCGTCGATCTCTTTGTTCTTCCCTATTCATATGTCAAGATCTATTAAATTCTTATTTCTTTTTTGAATTTAAAGTGGTATTTCGATAATTTAAAATTAAATAGAACATATCCTTATATAGGTATCATATTGATTTTTATGTTTAATTATTAAATTCAACTTTGAAAGTGTAATCAACGAAAAATTATTGTCAGACAAATAACAAAAATAACTATCATATGTTAGTAAGAAAATTCTCCCATAAGAATATGTTAATAGATCATATGTTTGTCAATTTTTTCAATTTTTACTAAACATATATTTATTTATCAGAAATTTAACAAAGTAAGATTGAAATAATATTCATATAAGAAAAAAATTTGAAAAACCCAAAATCTGACAAAACCAAACCAATTCAAATCGATATAATTGGTTTGATTTGGTTTTTATCAAAACCAAACCAATCCGATCCACGTACACTCATGCTCTAAGCTCACGTTTATTGCGTGGAAGACTCCTGCCAATGCTCAACAAAAGAGATATGTTCCAAAATTTAAAGCACTTTTTAACTTTAAAGTTTGTATCTATAACTACGTTCTCAATTTGGCGTACTTTCTATGCCAAATAGTTCCACTCCGAAATTTTTCTTGTACGCCTTCGCAATTTGGCACTAGTAAACTGTTTTTCACGTGACTTTGGAAAAGAAAGTCTGTTAATTAGTGGGGGATCTCTAGCGATCAACCATAGAAAATGAGAAAACTTAGTAGATTTCCTAACCTAATCAAGCTCCTTTTCGTTGGTGTTATCTGTCTATAATGTATGTGCCTAAGTTCTATATTAATTGCTTTCGCAAATCTGTCACGATCCGAATTTCCCACCACCTGGAGTCGAATGGCACTTACTAGTGTAAGCTAGGAAAACCAATTATTTCTCTTTTCATTTTTAATCCATTAACAATTATAAATTAACATTTATAAACAACGAAAATTAATAGAGCGGAAGAATGAAAATTTAACAATTTTAGCTAATAACAATACGAATCCATAACATAAACTACCCGAAACTGGTGTCACAATCTCACGGACTATCTAAGAAAACTACAGATAAGGTATGAGCAAGAAAGTACATGTCTATCTCTGAAATGGTAAAGAACAAATGAAAACTAGATAGGGAGGGGACGCCAAGGCCTGCGGACGCCTGCAGGACTACCTCGGGTCTCCTGGTGGACTGAAGGCAGCAACCCCTAGCTAAGGTCCGTATGCTCCAGTATTGGGATCTACACAAAAGAGCGCAGAGTGTAGTATTAGCACAACCGACCCATGTGCTGGTAAGTGTCGAGCCTAACCTCGGCGAAGTAGAGACGAGGCTAGGACACAACAACCAATAACCTGTAGCTAAACAGTATCTAACAGAATAACAGTAATAGAAGTAATTCAAAAGTAACGGGGAAAGGGTAACATGCTATGGGGAAGAATACCAACATATGAATCAAAATAAACAGGTAATAAGTGCACGACATCACCCTTCGTGCTTTTACTCTCAATCCTCATCAATGCAATCAAATAATGAAAATATGCACAGCATTACCCTTCGTGCTTTATATCTCTTCCTCACCATATAAGTATTAGAAATGTGCACGGCATCACCCTTCGCGCTTTATCTCTCTTCCTCACCATATGCATCAATATCAATAAAAATGTACACGACATCACCCTTTGTGCTTTATCACTCTTTCCTCACCAAATGCATAAATATGAATGTGCACGGCATCACCCTTCGTGCTTTATCACTCTTTCCTCACCCAAACAATAGCAACAACAACATCCTGGCAAGGGAATCAACAACAAGAATAAATACATCCCGGCTAGGGAATCAATAGTAAGAAATAAGGACATCCTAGCAAGGGAATCGACTATAATCAAACTTGTACCAACACTTAGCTTCACAATCAAAACCTCAACCGGAGCCAATGCTCAATAGTAAACAAATACCACAAGCTAATCCTAGGTCTTGCTCCATACGGAGAAACAACAATTTAGGCAATTTTAGTACTTATTAAGAAATACAACAATTACAATTTAAGACTCACGGCATGCTTGACACCGACGTATAGATACTCGTCACCACACATATACGTCGTATACTACACTAGCACATAGCAAATAAGGTACAATACCTATTCCCTCAAGCTAAGGTTAGACCAAACACTTACCTCAAACTTCCACGGCCAACTCAAGCCTCAAACACCACTTTTCCTTTAGAATTCGCCTCCAAATTACTTGTATCTAGTCCAAATTAATTTAACAACATTAATAAATACTAAAGAACTCATACCCAATGCTTAATTATAGGTTTTCTATCATTTTCCTAAAAAGTCAAAAATCGACCCCGGGCCCGCTTGGTCAAAACTCGAGGTTCGGACCAAAACTCGATCACCCATTCACCCACGAGCCCAAATATGTAATTAGTTTCGAAATCCGACCCCAAAACGAGGTCTAAATTTCAATTATTCAAAAAGCCCTAACTCTAATCAAATTCCCAATTTCTACCATAAAAACCCTAGATTTTTGGATGAAAATTGATGAAATGCAATGGGAAATCGAAAGAAAAAGGTTTAGAATCATATACCAATGTTTTAGGGAAGAACTTGTCTCTTGAAATCGCCTCAATGCTCTCTAGTTTTGAAAATATGAAGTAAATGGGTTCTGCCTTATTTTGCTACTGTTGTAAAAATGACTGGGCAGGCCTTCATCACGTTCGCGATGGGTCAGGCCCAGATGGCCATCACGTTCAGGTTCAAAGGCTCGCGTTCGCGGAGCTTTAGCTCCTCAAGCCTTCTCGTTCGCGGTCAGGTGGCCGCATTCGCGTAGAACAATTTGAAATCCCTTCCCCAGGTCACTAACCATACGCGTTCGCGAGAGCCTGAACGCGTTCGCGAAGGGTAACTCCCCCCACAGCTTCGCGTTCGCGTCTGAGCTCCGCGTTTGCGAAGAACAAACTGGCACCTGAGGAAGCTTGCCTTACACGTTCGTGAGTGAAGCCACCCGAACACGAAGAACAAAATCTCTGTGCACCTGAGACATCAAAACCTTCAACTTTTCTAAGTGTAAAAACCTTCCGAAACCTATCCGAAATTCACCCGAGCCCTCGGGGCTCCAAACCAAATATGTATATTAACTCAAAAACATCATATGGACTTACTCGTGTGATCAAATCGCTAAATTAACACCTTTAACGACGAATTTAGCATCAAAATCAAAGAAGAATCTCAAGAACTCTTAAGTTCAAATTTTAACAATCGAGGGTCCGATTCACGTCATATCAAGTCCGTTTCTTACCAAATTTTATAGGCTCAACCTAAATACCATATAAGACCTGTACCGGGCTCCGAAACTAAAATATGGGCCCGATACCATCAATTTCAAATACATTTAAATTTCCAAAAACTCTTAAAATTTCAATTAAATAATTTTCTTCAAAAATTCATTTCTCGGGCTTGGGACATCGGAATTCGATTTCGGGCATGCACCCAAGTCCCATATTTTTCTACGGACCTTCCGGGACCGTCAAATCACAGGTCCGGGTCCGTTTACCTAAAATATTGACCGAAGTCAACTTAAATTCAATTTTAAAGACCAAATTAGCATTTTCATCAAATTTTCACATAAAAGCATTCCGGATATACGCCCGAACCGCGCACATAAATTGAGGTGAGATAAAAGAAAACTTTTAGGGCCTCGAATACGGAATTGACTCAAAAATCAAGTGATGACCTTTTGGGTCTATCACAAAATCAAGATAAGGTTCCAACAGTTAAAATCCAATAAAAGTGGACTTTTATGAAAAACTTTCCCAAAAGAAGGTTAGCCATGTTCTTTTTATATTTATATGACTAGAAATACTTGAAATCAATTGACGTGCAAGTTAATAACACTACAAACTAAAAAGGGTAAATTTTACTTCCCATTTTTGCCTAACCGTTTCCTCTTTAGAGCGTGTTTGGAACTTTAGTACGAAGGAAGTTATCCCTTCTTTATTTACCTAACATTTTTTATTTTATAAAAATACTGGTGTTTGGTTTGATGAATGGAAAATTTTCGAAATAATATATCATAAAGATTAATGTAATAATATTAGCAAATCGAAAGTGCTTTGATGAAATTTTTGAGTACTTAAGATTAATAATAATGTCGGCATGTTAGCTAGTTAGGAAGTTAAAAGATACAATATACATAAGGTATAAATGGCCTCTACCCATAAGT